TCTTTCAATTGAAAACACTTAAGATGTTGTATTTCTTGAACTAATCTTATCTAGACTTCGAACCACGCGGCCAACTGAGCTGCTTTATTAAGCCAATAAGGTGAAAAGTGCGTGCAGTCATGAATAAAGACTGAAGAGTTGAGTTTGACAGGATGGGCTGTACCGACCAGCATGTTCCCATCTTATCCCCCTGTGGTTGGTTAACTTCTCACTTCCTGTTAGCTACTCGTCTCTAGTGTCTGGTGTTTAGTTTTGCTTCCCTCCCCCGTCTCAGTGTCTTTGATCATCTTCACCTGGGTCTCGTCCTGTGTCCCCGCTTACCCTTTTCTCTAGATCCACTGCGGTCTTCCCATTTTTGTCTCAGCGTTTGTCGTCATCCCCATGTGTTGTGAAGTTTTATGGTTTAGGTGTGCGTCTTAATTTCATGGAGTTAATTCTGAATAAACTTTTTTTAATATCTGCCTGCCCGTGAGTCTGTTTTTGGGTCCCTTTGCCTGAAATCCATGACCAAAGTCCAGCAGGAAGAAACGCTACATAGCGGGTTATAATCTCCACATAAATAATATTTTTAAATAACTGGATGTCGTGTAACTTTTAAACTGCTCAGTTAATTCTACCGTCTGTTATATTATTATATATATAACACTGACAGCAGCAGAGAAGTTCTTAGGAGCTTTAAAACAGAAGAAATGTTTAGATTTTCACAAAGTAACTGAAATATTTTGAAGTTATTTACAAAAAGATGTGACACTGTGTCACTCCATTAATGATGACTGAATAAAGTATCACCTGGATGCTTTGTTCCATTAAAAATGAAAACAAACCCTGTTTCTGGTCTCCGTTGTTGGTCTTCTTTTTTTATTTTGAGCTCTACTTCTGGACACGGCTGTGAGGAGCATCCATAACAAGTTTAAAACAAGCTGCCTTTGATTGGTTTAGTAAATGTCCACATACTGTGAGTTAAAAGCATCTGGGCTTTAGGAAGTTCCGCTGCGTCTTTGTACAGATGAGAGCGGAAAGCCACAAGATGGCAGCATGCTCACAGAGGACCACCTCCTTCTTTTCTCAGCTCTGTCCTGTCGGATGAGGATGATCACAAAGAAACAAGCACTTTATTTATTTATTATCCAGCTGTGATTCATGGTTATTACACAAACTACTAAAAGTATTTCCAGATATTTTTATTGCTCATACTAAATTTGTTTAGTCTGATGTTCACGACTGGATGCCAACATTAGCATGGTCCAAGTCAGCCTGCAGGTAGATAAATGTGATTAGGAAGGACTGAGCTCACTACAAAATAAAATATTTGCTTACATCCATGTCTTATACATTTGTTGTATGGATATCATGCAGTGATGATGCACTAATTAGTGGATAACATAGACTGTATATAAAAGATGTAGCTTACAGGCTGAAAAATAAAGGCTGGATATACTGAGAACAGTATATGTGGGCGTGGCTGTGACCACCAGAGTTTATTGTATCCACTAGAGGCGCTCCAGCATTATGCATGTCGAGGTTCCCATCATTTGAAAAGTGCACATCATGTTGTATCCAGTAAAGTTTGGAACTAGCGACTGAGACCATAAACTCATGAGGAAAATGTCCTGAGTTCACAGAGAAGTCCCCTCAGATGGTTTAATGATTCACAGAGTAAAGGATCCAAACACAGGCCACAGGAGACCAGGGTAAAGTCCAAAATCTAAACCTGTAATCAGTCTGAGGTCACAGTCAGGTGGGCAGTCGAGCATCCGTGAAGCAGGAGAGAGCATGATGAAGGACAAACTGGAGCATGAGAAATTTCTGAAAACTTTCACTGCAAGTAGAAACGAC